CATCTTTGCCTTCATGATAAACATGAGAAAAATTCTTTTTTACTCATTTATAAAGACCAGAATTTTATTTTGAAATATAACAAAGAAATACAAAGACAAAGAACAAACAAAACAAAAAAAATTGAAAGTCCATGCTTTATTTCGCAACGGAATTATTTTTTGACAAGCCATCCAAAAGTAGTTTGCTTGATACAGTTTTTCAGAACCCCAAGTCGATATTCTTAAGAGTAAATCCGTATTTGTCAAGCTTTGTCGGATAGGCTTTTAGACGATCATCTACGTGATGGTATGCATCATACAAGGAGAGTCCAAACACAATGTTAGGCTTACTCTGGAAGGGTTCCTTAAAGCTCACAGTTTTATCCGCTGTTTTAAAAATGTATGGAGACACGACAATTCCACTTTGACCTAGAAGTTATAAAAATATAACACATCGTTTATAACGTATATATATAATTTAAAAACAATTCATTTTTTTATACAGTAAAATATTATAATACATCTAATAAAAAATACAGATTCGCAAAGACTCGAATAGTTATTTTAAATGTAAGCGATTTCTGATTTTTAATGGCTCTTTAGACAGTTACAAATTAAATGTAAAATTTTAGATATATATTTTAAAATAAAAAAAGATACCATATAGAGTACTTAACAAGTTGCTGTCCTTTAAAAAAGGACTACAATACGTGGACCATATGCATGTGTTTCTAACCGAAATTATATTCAAGACAATTTCTAGGTTTAGTGAATATTCATATAGGTTCGTTCACATTTTCTATTATAATCTGTCTACTTTGACCGATAGTACTTTCATAGCAAAATTGTTAAATGTTATCTCCGATTGGCCTATATAGTTTTGTCATTTTAAAAATCGGGCTATTTTTGATGCATGTACCTTATAATGGCTGGGACATTACATATGTTCTGGCTTATAAGAAAGAAATCTAGAATTGGAAAAATATATCTGATTTTTTTTTCCAGAGCCCACCCCCCCTTCCTCCACATGGAAAACTGTTGCTACAGGCCTGTATCACGCTGTATTTGGATTGTTGTATTTCAAACCATTTTTGCGAGCTTGATGCACAAAACAAATGCCGATGAAGACAAGTTCTTCCTACTTTTTAAAATGCATCTGCCTTTCAGACTGGCTGAAGTTGTTTTTCCGACCTCTGACGGAAAGACCCGATATGATGCGATTGCGAACCCTCGAGCTTTCTCGCGCATGCGTAGCCCGTCGTTTGCCCATGGCATCTGGTTTAACCTCGCATATATATTTACTGCGTGGACTTCAGGGTCCACGCAATAAGCAGTTCTTGTAGAATATATAGGTCCAAAAGTACTCATTAATTGGGAGATTGCGCTATAATAATTTGAGAGCACTAATTCATGTATATGTACGTTTTCAGTCTTTAAAACAGGAATTAGAATTTTTAATATTACATTTATTATTACTGGTTTGGTTCTGCATAGAGATTCTCATATCATTCAAATGAGCAAGCTGAGTTGAAAATTTTGTTATCTTAAGGGGGCCGACTATAGTTTTATTATGGGAAAACTACAATAGCGAAACCCTTCATTTTTGTATCATATATAACTTACATTAACTTCAGTTTACATGCAAAGTTTGGGGGAAATCTACCGTCCAGGTATTTTTGAGGGACCGTCTCAAAATACAGGTGCATTTACTATAGGATTATATAGGAAAATGCCAATTTTTAGCACTTTAAAGCAAATTATACAAATAGTTCAATAGACATTTTGTTCAAACTATAATATTTCATGAGTAATACTATAATATACAATATATGTAAGAAACACAAAATTCTACCGTCTTGTTACCAGAGGGGGCATCTCAAAATGCAAAAAATTAGCAAATTTTACTATTTTTATAGAGTATTACAAAATATGACGTACACGATGGATTCACATGAAAACATAGTAAAATATTGGAGATATTCTCAAATTTCTATGTTTTAAATTTCAGGAGCGTATGTTTATTACTTTTTCTTTAATAATATTTTTATTACCCCTTTCTTTAAGAGCTACAGATTATCATAAAGTCAAAAACACACTGCAACGACGTCAACCTACCTATCATTTGCAAAATCGGTTAAAAATTCAGTTATATCAAATTGTAATTAAATTTTCATACCTATAATTTCTTAATTTTGTTTGATTTTTATAATTAAGCGAAAAAAGTTGCATTAAAATAGTAAATACGCTTCATTTTACTATGATGCGCGAAATATTGCGCAATGGAAACTATAGTCGGCCCCCTTTATTCCTGATGTTTGTTCCGCTTTTTTAAACTTTGAAACGTTTTCACTGATTTTCTTTTCCAAAGACATCTGTTTCATTTCAAGATTGGAACATTTTGCTTTCGTAGCATCCAGTCCATTTGAGACAGTTTGAATTTTCAAATGATTTTCAGGCGCGGATCCAGGATTTGGAGTTAGGGGGGCGCCAAAATAGGCAAGGGGTCTGGGGGCCGCCTTGAGGCCCCCAGTGGGTCCAGGGCAAAGCCCTGGTGGGGGCCCAGGGGGCGAAGCCCCCGGAAGCTCCTGGATTCTAGAGATTTTGAAGGGTTAAAATGAGGTCTACCAAAGCCCTGGTGGGGGCCCAGGGGGCGAAGCCCCCGGAAGCTCCTGGATTCTAGAGATTTTGAAAGGTGAAAATGAGGTCTACCAAGTAGACATATTTGATTTACGCTAACTTTGACAATTTTAGGGGGGGCGCGCGCCGGGTGCGCCCCCCCTTAAATCCGCCACTGATTTTCGTTGCTTTTATTTAACGCCTTGTCGATTTGCAGTCTCAGATGTGAATCAGCTTCACTTCTTTTCCTCATTTTGGTATCAACTTTTGTTTCAAATCTATTGATTTGATCACCCAGTTTCTGACAAAAGGAGTTGGTCTCTTTTATTCTTTCCTCCAATTTAGTTACATTATACAGCAGTTTTAAATTATTTTTTTGAAGTGCAGATATTTTTTCCTTCTTAAGATTCGTTTCCACGTTTCTTCGAACAGTTTTTCTCTGCAAATCCGCAAACCTCACAAATTCTTCGTCTTTTCTATCCATCCAAATTTTAACGTTGTTTAAAGTTTTTGTAGCTTCATCAAGTTTTGTAAGCAACAAGAAATACAGTCTAGAAGTCGAATTTATGTCGCAGATTCCCGATTGATTTTTTTCTCTTTATACCGAAAAAATCATTCCAGTTTTTGTGAAAGTTTTGAAGCTCGTCGATTTGATCGTGAAGGGATTTCATTTCTCTCTGCATATCTTTGATATTTTTAGTATATTTTATCCAGTGAAGAAATAAGCTGTAAAAAGGGGATGACTGCAATCTTGATCCCCTCTACATGAAAAATGATTATCAATTAAGCTTTCAGAAATCAATATCTGTAATAATTTAGACATTTTCCGACATCAATAACAAAGATGGTGCTGTAACAGTTGGAAGTAAAATCAGAAGAATTTTTATACAACCATTTTTATATACATATTTTCATAAAATTTATTTTAAAGATTTCATCTTCTGTCTATGATTTATTTTAAATTAAGCTAGTTAAATATTATTTCACTTTCAATGAGTAAACATAAAAACTAGCATAGGATGTAAATATAGAACCATAGGAATATAATACCATCTGTAAATTTAATTATATTTACACATACAGCAGCTTTTCTGCAAATGCGAAATACTAACGTCACAATTTAGTAGTATTTATTATTTGGATCCTGCAGAAATGATACATGGAGATTATAATACATACCCTTTTCCATGCCACATCTTGTTCAACCCGAGACATCAATATCAACGAGGGTGTTAACCCGACAAATGGTATGTTTTATAATGTTTATTACATACTTACTAATAAAATACAGCACATATCAACTTGAGAAAAATACAAATTAATAATCATGCAATGGCTACTGACATGCTTATTATATTACAGTGAAACCTGTCTAATCCGACATGCACTGGGAGACAGATTTTGTGTCGGAATAGACAGGGTGTCGGATTGCACAGTGTAAGAAACAAAGAAAATGCAAAAATGGGAAAGAAATTTGATGTCGGAATTTGCAGTGTGTCGGATTATTCAGGTGTCGGATTAGACAGTTTTCACTGTATTAGCTTATTATATCAAAGAACCGTTAAAAACTAAAAGAAACATAAGGAGATAAGGAACACTATTCCAGCTCATAAGTTCATTTAACATTACAAATAGAACAAAAATGTTCAAGGGTTAATCCATTTGGTTGTTTTAGAAATTCGTGTAAGCCCTGCAGGATCCGTATCAGCCCATTGTGACGTCAGGAATATCGCACATTAAAAAACTCTGTGTTTATAATATTATTTAGTGTCTAATAAGTATATTACATATAATAAATATAACGTATATACCTTAACTGTGGAAAGCGAGTTGAAAGTTTTGCCATTATCTGCAGTTGTCCCAGAAACAATGACTATCATCAGAACAAGGGGCAACATATTTAAAAATCGCTTAAAATAGAGTCAGAAACATAATTATATACTTTATAATAATCTCTCTCTATGTAAATCAATATAACGTTTCTTAAGCTCATTAAATATGCAAAATTAACATTTATTAAAACATTCGAAAATTAAGGAAATTTTTACAATTAACGAGATCTGGATTTTTTTTTTAAATTTCATTTAGAAACAATAAATGAATTTGTCAGTTTGAAAGAGTTTTCCTTTTGAGAAAAAAAATATAATTGTGATATTTACCTTAATACAATACGTTTAAACTTGCGAAAGAAATTTTGCAAGCTGTTACACGTATTTATATAGTTTTGCACAAATTTATGCATGTCATGTAATAGTTATTGTATATTTATTTTGGTGTATCCTGAGTTATTTGGGCGAAGGGCGTTGACGAGTGCGAAGCACGAGTCTCCGCCCTTCGCCCAAATAACTCAGGATACACCAAAATAAATATTCAATAACTGTCTTGTATCATGGTCCAATTAAAAAGTTTACTTTTGAACACGTGATTTTTTAAGATGATTATTCATTGTAAAATAGCCAAACTCCAATGAAATACAATTTTCCAATCATGTGACAAATCTTTCCCGCTGTCCCGTGCAAATTGTGCATAGCGCGATTGATACTCAATAGATATGGACGCATGTAATTCTGAGGAAGCAATGCCAATGGAGTTCGAGACGCTTAATCTGGCCGATGTCGACTTTCTGCTAGAAACGACGGAGAAAGATGACATTATCCTCTCTCAAATGTGCGACGAAATTGAAACATCGGAGCAAGATGACCTTCTGCTGTCTCAAGTGTGTGATGAAATTGAAATGAATCATCAACTGGCCGAAATTCAGTTACACGAGACAACGGATTCTCTCGATATACCAAGCTTCGATTTCAACTTTGAGCCCAATGACCCGAAAGACACGAGGTTTGGTAAAATTGTTGATGAAAGCGAAATTCAAGCGTTAATTGAAAGCCAGGAAAATATTAACACGAAGAAGAATACGCGATGGGCCTTCAACATATTTGAAAGTTGGCGACTTGAACGTAATAGCCAGGGTCAAGGTCAAGAGTTAGTAATACCCGAGTTGGTCTCGATGGACGCTGTTCAGCTCAACTTTTTCTTGGGACGTTTTATAATGAGTGCGCGCAAAAGAGATGGCCAGGAATATCCTGCAAAAACTCTATATTACATATCCTGTGGCATTTTAAGATACCTTCGCGACAATTGGCGTATTCGACTGGTTGATTTCGTGAAGAAACAAAAAGTTGATGACATCTTTTTACATTCGACTGGACTTTTCTGATGAGCAACAAAAAAATGTTGAGTACGAAACTCATCACAGATAACACCGCGATTAGTAATACCACGTGACAAGTTGAAGATGGCGGAGAAAAAGTCGTGAGTACACAATCTGCTTGTTTTTCCCTGATTTTTGCGATTGCAATCATTTTAATTTTTAATAAACCTTACCTAGTGTTAGAGATATATCTTTTTACAATAAACTGAGAGTTTATAAGCAGTATACACATAGCCCAGGTTCTACGGTGCTCATTTATATGTGTCACACAGTCGGATACAATATCCTGCACAGAAGGCACGGTTTTATTTGGGATATACAAATAGTTTTAAGCCCATCTCAGCCACGCAGCATCGTTTTTGAAAGTGGGGGGGGGGGGGGGGCAGCCATAGAAATAAATTTTTTTACCAACCTGAAAAGGTTTAAAAGTAAAAAAAAAGGGGGGGGGGAAATTGTCCAAAGTCGAATATCCCACTATGTGTGAGAGGGTGTGTGTGTGTGTTGGGGGGGGGGGGGGATAAAGGTAAACTTTTTTCTATGCCAATTTCTTCCTGTAAAAATTTTTAAAATACATTTCCCTACATCACTAAAAGTTTGTTTTTTTTGGGGGGGGATGCAACCAACCTTTCAATGAACATTTCCTTTAGTAATTATATTGATGGGAAAAAAAGTGGGTGTTCCCCCCCCTGCTACGTGCCTGCATTTGTATCTGCTGATAAAGACATAATTCTGTTTTATATCATGTCATATAAATGCCTGTGTCAACGTTCAATTTTGTTTCTGGGAAATATTTAAAAACTTAACATTTCTAACATTATGTAGGTACTGGAATCAAATACATCTAAAGTATCTGGATGAGCTAGAAATAATACAAGTTTTGGATGCCCCTACAATAAGGAGGTTAGAAAATGGAGGTGAGTTTTTTTTCTGAAAAAAATATATAATTAAAATCTACATGAGTAATTTAATTTTAGGAATTAAATCATGAAGTTCTCACAGTAAGCTACTTTCAGCTTTTATTTTTTGTTAGGCCTAATCCAAAAAAAACATCAATCAAAAATTATTTAATATTATAATTATAGATGAAGAATTACTCCAACAAATTCGGAAAAATGTGGAAGAGTCTGGAATGGCAGAAGCTGCACAACAGCCTGCATGCATTGAAGAAAAAACTCTTGCATGTACTAGCGTGGATAATTTGGAATTTGAAGATGAGGCTTCAAACAGTAAGATATTATTCATGAATGTGCTAAACCATTATATTAATTGGGCTAGATAAACATGTACATCTACTTGTGTATTTTAAGAAATGAAATATGAAAAATTGACTTAATTGAATACAATAGTTATTATACTGTTTAATAGCTTTTATGACCTTTGACTGCATGATGAGAACTTAAGAAGTGTACATGTACACTATCCAATCTTGTTGAGTTGGCAGGGGTAGCTTTGAGAAAATATTGGGTTTTGTGATTGGTTATTTCATGGGTATAATACTAATAAAAATACATAAAATTCTTTTGTTTGGAAGGTTTAATACAATCTTAAAATGTAATTTTGGTCAGTTGGATTTCTTCTGGAAAAAGATGGTGGGGCTCAGAACATGAATATAATTTTCCATACTTTTTTTCCATAATAGGTGATCTGGAGGAAAACACAGTTGACAGTCAGCCAATTTCATGGACGAGAGAAGCGACAGAGCTATTAATAAGCTTATATGAGGAACATGAAGAAGAACTAGAAAATCCACGAAACAAAAAAAAGGATATTTGGAAGAAGATAACTGCAGAACTTAATGAAGCAGGATACAAATATGTACAAAGCAAAGTTGAAGGGAAATGGAGAAGCCTACTGGCATCACACAAAGATCTGTCTTTGAATAAGAAGCGAACTGGCCAGAAGAGGAAGACTTTCCAGTACTTTGAGAAAATTGATAACATTATAGCAAAACGCCATGATATCAACCCTCCATTTACTTCAGAATCTTCAAAACAGAAGGAAACCAAATTCAGCACAAAAGTAGACAAAAACATGACTAGTTGCACTTCTTCACAAACAGACGAGGAAAGTTCCACTGTTAGTAATGACATTTCCTCTTTCAGCCCATCTAGTACAGATACACCAGATATCAACAGTGACAGCGGAAAAAACGTGAATGCTGAAAATACTGAAACCCCCTTGAGTAAATCTACCACAGCAAAAAGAAGGCGAGAAAACAGGAAAATAAATAGTGAGAGTAATTCAGGTATCAGGTTGCTCGAGTACTTAAAGGAAATGGAAAAGCAGAGAAAAGAGGAATATAAGGAACGGGAAAAAAAACGTGATCAACGTGCTCAAGAAAAGAATAATCTGTTCAGAGAATTTTTGGATATAATGAAAAACAAAAATAATTAATTGAATAATAAGTATCTTAAGGACCCTCTGTACACTGCAACCTAATTTCAGACTGAATTTAAAATATATCCTAGCATTTTGAAAATTACATTGGACCAAGATTAAGTAGTTGAAAACTTCATTTACATACATGTATTTTCCATATTTGAGTATGCAAACACAATTTTACTTTACCTCATTTGTCTTTGAAGATTTTTTTCTTGAGAAAAAGTCCTACTCCATTAAAAGTGGATGTTATATTCAAAATACCCCCCTTTAAGCTTTACGCTGTATAATTTTCTTAGATTCTAAAAAACATTATCGGTGTATAGAGAGCCCTTACAGAAATTTATTTTCATTTCAGATTACCTTTCCAAATTGCCACCTCATATTCTGGACAAAATTTTCATGCATGTTCAAAAAGTAGATTTACATGAAGTTTGCAAAGACTTTAGAAATTATGTTTATTACAAGAGAACTGATTTTGTTGTCCATGTTGATGCTTTATCTGTGCACTGTGGCATTAAATTTATGCCAAATTTAAAGAAATTGACCATTACCGCACTTAACAATTGTCAGGAGATAGCTCTTATACCTGTCATTGAGCTTTTTATTGATTTTGAATTCAAGAACTTAGAAATTCTTGTCCTTAAAAATTTTTCTTTCGAAAATTCCTTGTTTTCAGCATTTACTGAAGCTCTATCACATGTGAAATTATCAGCACTGCAGTTTGTGACATGTGACGAGGTCACACTTGGACAACTTAAATGCATTCTTGAACAAATTAAAACACTGAAATTCTGTGACATTCAGTGCAATTTAGAAAATGTTGTAGATAAACATGTTTTTGCAGAATTGGCCAATCAGTTAGTTGGAGAAGTGAACTTTAATTTGAACAGTCTAGAAATGGTTCCTTCCAGTCTTTTGCGGCACAGACGAGCAGATTACAGAGCATTGTGGCCTAAAGGACAGTCTTTTTTGTGAGAATTTTCCTGATTATGTGTTGGCTAAGTGTTATTGTAAACAGTCGTTTTAAAAAACAGAGTACTTTAATATTGGTTCACTCGATATGAGGTTTAAGTTGTAATTTAATATTACTCAGGCAAGTATAATTGCAATATGTCATAATGTGGTGAGTGTATTTAACTCAGGAAGAGATTATACCTTTTTTTATTTTTTATTCGATGTCTCCTTATACATTTGTTTATTTCTGTGCCAGGAATCAATTCAAATTTTTGCAGAAGTGCATTATTTTATAATTATATTTTCTTACTCAGGAAGAGTGTTTTCTCCTTTATTTTGTTATTAAAAAGAAAAAAGCTGAACTAGTTTTTTTTTTATTCACAAGGAATAATTCTTAACACAATCTTCTTGCAATTTGAAGTCTTTTGAGTGACCCTCTGTTCATCAATTCCTGGTCATATATACCTGCATTGGGCAAGACTTGGGGAACTTGGTCATCTGTCATCATATCCTGGAAATCATCATTGTTTAAGATGCAGATATTGTGCAGTATACACCCTGTCACTATAGTTTTAATCATTAATTTTGTATCGTTTTGGTCAAGGTGCTTTAATCTGGTAAATCGCCCTTTTAGTAAACCAAATGCACGTTCAACTGTACTACGAATGCTGCTGTGTGTGTAATTATAACGTGTTTGGACTTCAGTAAGATGCCCATTGTCTCTGAAAGGTGTTAATAACCATGAAAGATTAGGATAAGCCGAGTCGCCTAACAAATGACCATCTCCACATAAGACTGGTCCATTTTCAAACAATTTTGAGTGGCGCAAAACACGCGCATCATGGACCTTTCCTGGAAAGCCAACAAAAATGTCTTTAAAGCGGAGATCTTCTCGTACAACAGCTTGCAGGACTATTGAATAAAAATCTTTACGGTTGTAATAGTCAATTCCCCTGTCTGGTGGTCTTTTAATTGAAATATGTGTCCCGTCAATGAATCCAATGATGCCAGGAAACCCTTTAAGATCAAAATACATATCCTTGATTTCCTGAATCTCTGTAGGAGTAGGCCAGAGAATAACTGCATCTAATAGATAGTCATTGATGAAAGTTATTAAATTGTGAATTGAATATAAAGCTGTGCTTTCACTTGTTCCAAATCTATCTGCAATGGCAGCATACTTGTCTAAACTGGCCATATACCATAGAAACATGAGTAGGCGGTCCTCGAGTGGAGTCTGCGCTGATCCTCCTGTAGACGTGCGGCATAAAATGCCTGATATATTCTGTTGGGTGCATATTGAAGAAATTTTCTCTTTTAGACACTGAACACTCACTCTGTCAACTCTGAAAAAAGTCTTGAATTCATCTAGGTGAAAGTGGGAAACAACGTTCCTTGTATATTTCTTTTGTCTGTGTCTTTCTTTGGTTGCATTTCGCCATTTTATTGATGAACTACAAAAAGAAACCATATGAATAAGATGTTTAAAAGTTGTAGAATGATTTTGGTGGCACACCCTACGTAAATTATTAAAGGGGTGGAGGTGGGGGTTGGTCCTAAAATAAATCAAAACATGGAATGTGTATAAAACTTAACTGTGAACAAGGGAAATTACCCCCCCCCCCTTTTGATTCACTTAGCTGTTTTAATTCAGTTCACTATTATATACAAATAATTTTGATTATCGAATTGTTAAAGCTGTTTGTGTAAACATATAAGTCAACATCTTTAAAAGCTGCACAGATTGCAGGTCCCCGCTGTTAACCTCTTAAAATGTGCAATTTGTTCTGACATATGATTATTACACATTCAATATCGTCCAGACTCCTTAATAAACTTAAATTGTACTTGTACTTACGAAGCCAATAAGGTTAAAAGTGGAAGATCATCGTCCTCACTCTCGCTGTCGCTGCTATCAAAGACAGTAGCTGCTAAAAACGTCAACTGTTCTATCGACATGTTTATTTGTATTTTCTGTTTTCCTTTTTTTTTTGACCGGAAGTGACCATTCTTTTTTCTTATTTCATTCGACTGGTACTTATACGTAACTTTTACTCATTTCTCATTTTATGCGTTCGACTGGTACAAGACTGTTGAGAAACTTTTAAGTAGTGCGCATATGGGCGGAGCCTATTTTTACTCATCAAAAAGGTACCAGTCGAATACGCCAAATGGGATATATGACAAAAACTTTCTTGATAACCGAGATTCAAGATTTGCCGACTTCAGGAAAATTTTAGACAGTAAAATGAAAGATGCGCTCAGTCGGGGTATTGGCGGGAAACCTAAACAGGCCGACCCGATACTGCCCGAGGACGAAGCCAAAATATGGGAGAAGAGTGTTTTTGGATCGAAAAATGCAGAGACACTTCAGTGCACCATCTTCTTCTACTGCTGCAAATTTTTCGGTTTGAGAGGACACGATGAACACCATTCTCTTGAGTGCAACCAGTTTGTCGTGGACGAAGACAGTCGAGGAAAATACATCGAGTTCACTGGAAGGTCTACCAAAACTTTTAAGGGGGGATTGGCGCATAAGGAGCTTTACAACAAACAAATTAGACATTACTGCCAGCCTGGTAAGTTATATTCTGATTATAAATTTTTTGCTAACAACCATTGTCTTTTATTACTTTTTAGAGATTAATAGATCCGCCCCTCTTTATCTCATAATGCCCCCCTTTTCTTCTCGTCTCTTTATTTACTTAACTGTATACTGACTCACTGGTGTAAATATTAAACAGAGATTACAATATGAAAAATATGCCTATCGCATTTTAATTTATTATATTAGATATTTCATTGGGAATTTTAATGTTGTAGGGGAGCGTTGCATGGCGGATCTCTTCAAACTTTACCTGGAGGCCCTTGGAAATGAAGGTCTATTCTACAGACGGCCGCTAGCAGGGTCACCACCGCGGTACGGTATTCAGGCTGTCGGCGTAAATAAACTGAAATCGATGATGAAAATAATATGTGATCGTGCGGGACTCAAGGGGAATTTCACCAATCATTCTGGGAAAAAAACTTGCGCGACTGCATTATACCAAAGTGGAATTGATGAGCAAGACATTATGGGCAGGACAGGGCACAGATCAGAGATGGGGGTCCGGGCATACAAAAGGTCAAATGCAGATATCGCTTGTAAAGTGTCGAAGTGTTTGGATCCACCTCCCGTGACAGCGCTCAGCGGCGAAGAAGAAACCAGTGTTCCTATCAAGCGTGAATGTGTCCGTGAAAATCAGAGCGCTTTGAGGGATATTACCAACTTGAGCAGTGGTGGGGCATTTCCTTGCTTCAATAATTGCAGCTTTTCATTTCATTAGAAACTATTGAAAGAAATATTATGTACAAGTATACAATTGTCCAAGATGGATATACGTGTAATCTGAGTATCTTTTATTTGAAAGGAAATTTCAAAGTAATATATGTTCTGTTCCATACTTATAACAATTTTGGGAAAAAAAACTGTTTTGTACTTTCAAAAAAATCTTGAGAGAATAATGTATGATGCAATGTTTGCATGTGAAAGTTGTACAATAAATTATTTAAACAGCACAGTTTTGCTGTATAATGAGCTCCGCCCCTTGCTGGTGTATCTCCAGTTATTGTACGGTGAAATTCAAAGGAAAAGTGCCGCAACCATGATACAAGTCCTGGTTTGATTACGTTGATATCAAATTTCTTGAAGTCAGTTTCTGTAATACTAGACGGTGGCTGAGTTTTGACAAGTTATCCACAACCAATGTGGTACAACGCCTTAAATATACACTGAACCAAACTTCAAAGTGTTCACCTAACATTTTTTTAGTTTTAAAGAACAAATGCAAACAATAAATAATTTCTTTAATTCATGGTTAATGATGCATATTTCAGTTCATGTACGTATCTTGTCAGAATTTTAATCAAAGAGTCGAGGAAATGATGTACCCTCAAAATGAAAATTCACACAAAATAATCTATATGGAGTAAGATCATCACTCGCTCTAATTACTGTTGGATACCATGTACCCTTGAATAGGAGACTGACCCATCTGCTCTCACGCCTACTGCATAGATACATGTATTTCCAGTTGATATTGTGTAAGGGGGGGGGGCTTTTCAAGACCTTCATTATAAAAATCCCAAATGTGTTCAATGGGACATCACACAGAGGCTTTTAGTCAATATCTTTGGGCGTTTAGTACGTAAGTGCACTGCTTTAAGGGTGATTCACGCTGCTTGAGCTGATATTAGACTGTCAGGAGCACCGATTGCATTTTATTATTGAAGGAAATTACTAGTGAACCAAATCAGAGACATAAAATGTATGCTTTACATGTATATGTGTCTCTGACCAAATCCAAATGACACTGGATAAAAAACACAGTGAATTTCAGTTTCCACATGGCTGAAACACTACCAAACTCTGCGGGAACCTAATCTTAAAGCTGACATGAACTCTTAAAAAGGCGTCATTTTTCATCTTTGTACGACTTACTACATTCCTGTACGCCTTTGTCCGCCATATTTCTTCGATTCCGCCATATTTAATCGGAAAATTTTGGTTACCTGTACCTGCTATATATAGCCTTGTACGATTGCTTCACTTGAGTGATTTTCTAGCCTGACTGTCGACATGTACACATCTCCGATAACAAAGTTTTTAGAAATCCATAAACTGACCAAATGCATGTTTGAAAAGTAAAAATTCGACAAAAAATAGAACTATACCGAGAATTAAATTATTTTTTAATGCATTTGCTGCAATATAGAAAATAAACCAACACGGAATACATACATGTACATCAAACACCTATGCATGTCGAGAAAACGCGTCAAACGCAGTGATAAAAACATTTACCTGACTACTGCTATCGCTAAAGGGATGTGCACATGTCGAAGAATTATCCTATTTTACTTTTATTGAAAAATGCATCTCAGAAGTCATGTAATCCATTCCTAACTCAACAGTAAAAGATGCTTGGACACACGTGGCCCATGCCGATCATTTTGTTTGGTCAGGGAAAATATCAAAGGTTGAAAGCTCAGTGGGGTTGATTGAAAAAAAAATGCAAGTAATTTTTTTCAAAAATAAACATTACTCTTGTCTGTACATGTTGTAAATAAAATTTACGATTAAGTACATGGTTTAACTTCATCAAATTCATTAAAAAAAAAGCAGGCATTATTATGTATCATTCACCTTTTGAAGATATTTTCCTGTGATATAAGGGGGGGGGGATAAAACATGCATAACACTCTCATAAAAATAATGTAAGAAAAACGTCTGAAACAGATTGGATTTCTTAATGATCAATTATTATCAAATAAATACTGTGTATTGGCTTTATTAGACCTAATATATTTTGATTTAAAGTTATTTATAATTTTATGCATTATGAAAGAAAGAAAAAGTGAGCACGTTCACATACCCCACGCTCCCCCAAAAGTCGAAGTGCTAAAAATTCCAAGAAAAAAATAAAGGAATCGTAATCTCCTTGTAATATGCACATCTATACACATTGTGTCCTAAATATCTGCAAAGTTTGACGAAAATCAGTGTGTGCAGCGGTTTATGAGGAGTTGCGCTAACAAATTGCTCACCTCTATATTCAAGATATGGCCAAAATCTAAATGTAAAAGTGCGGAAATTCCCGGAAAAATAAAGAATTCGGAATTTCCTGGTGATTTGACAATTCTACACACACATTGTCTCCTATAGATATCTGCAAAACTCTGTGTAGTGGTTTTTGAGAAGTTGCGCTGACCAAAAAAAAAAAAAAAAGGACTGACTGACGGGTCAAAAACATTATACCTCACGCGTGGGGTATACTAAACGAGTTTGATTCTTTGGTACAATGGTAATGAAAATAGAATTTGATGTGAATTAAATTTCTAGACATAAATAATTAATGATTATTAGAAAAAAGCATATAGGAAGAGTGAGTAAACTCCTCGTGAGAATTCCACATTCTACCTAAAACTATAGCTTTTTAAAAATTCTCTTGTCTATTGTCCAAGCTCGACACATACGTTTGAGAAAGTATTCCAGAAAGTTCCTAATGTTCCCATTCCTGTGATTTATATTTCACGTTTATTATATCCCCCACCTGAAAAGTGGGGGGTAATCATTATGTCCGTTCGTCTGTCTGTTACGCTTTGGAGTACCCATCTCTTATCTGCAAATCCTCTTACACCACTTAGAGTAATTTAATGAAACTTTCAAAGAATCTTAAGTTTAATATTACATATTACCATTATGCATCTCCTATTTTACTTTTTGATCTGACACGTATGGGTTTAGCGAAGTATGGACTTTGCCATTATAACCATATGGGAGGCAGGGGGTATCATTTAGTGAGTTCATTGCTCATAATACATGTACGTCTAGTTTCTCTTTCAATTTGGGCGTTTGGGTTAATTTCCTGTCCAAAGTAAAATTATTATTCAATTTATGAAGTTTCGACATCCCTCCTGAAAAAAATCCTTGATCTGTCCTAATGCATAATAAATGATACAGCACAAAGTGCGTAGGATTTTATCCCCATCATTGCCCCAACGGGTAGTTACAGACAGAAAGACAGAGAGAGAGAGAGAGAGGGAGAGAGAGTTCAATATACAAAAGAATAAGTAATAATTATCCGTATTCAACCAGTGTCAAGTATCCCTACCCTAGCTTTTAAAATTATCTCCCAAATTCACCTACAGAAATTATTTATATATAGAAAAAAAATACCTAGACTATCAGGCCGGGGTACTGAAATCTCGAAATATTTCCTGTAACAACATAATTATAAAACAGTTACATTCCTCAAAATGCACATACTTTGTGGTCGGAGTGACACATTTTAAAAAAATCTCAAAACTGAATTCGGCAGAAATGTCTGTCTTCCAAGAATATTTAAATAACGGTCATGTCAATTATTTTTGTATGCCCCGCCCCCCCCCCCCGTCCAATAAATCAAATGCCTAAACGTCAATCTGAACAGGGGATGGCCTTTCTCCGTGTGTGTATGTGTTAAAGAATGTATAGATGTACACATAAAAATTTGTATTCTGGTTAATTGCTTTTAATATTTGAAGTAAATTATAGCCGTACATCAAATTACTTTGTTTAGATTTGAGATTAGTACTAAAATAATCAGTTATAATTGACAAATGAATTTTGCGACGCAAACCAACTGCAGACTATATACATGACTTTGTATAGAATGTTTATTAGAACTACATGGAGATAAACAATTCACAATTATAGCTTATGAACATCAGTTATGATACCCCCCCCCCCCCCTTCAGCCGCGCAAATACCAAATAACTTCTCTTTCCACTTTTGATATTTTCCCTGACCAAAATCTGATCAGCACGGACTAAGTGTATCGTCGTGCTAGTGTGTACGGAGTAATGACAGTGTGTTTACTATTGGCTTTTATGGAGTTTATTTCTTTTTTGTGATGCATGTTTCAATAAATGGAATTCAGGGTGTATTTCACTTGACTTGTGCACATCTTCGAACCGATGCAGTAACCTTATTACCAGGTATGGGTACGTTTACAGCGTTCGAGGCGTTTTCTCGATATGCATCAATTGCATAGGACCTGCAAATCAAAGACGTTGGTTGTTTTGTTCCAAATGATATCATTTCAAAATGTGTTTGCAAATTTTACTGCTTTTTATTTCAAGTTTATTCTGCATAAATTGGCGCACTGTAAAAATACGTACTCATGCATCTAAATTTCTCTTCCAAACTTGCATTTTTTTTTTTTTTTGATTCAAATCAATATCATTCAAAAATATGATTATTATGTTATTTATTTTGTTTTTGAAATGTCTTGATCACCTCATGTGTTCTCATATGCTTTACCAAAGGAGATGTGCACAAGTCGATACCCAAACCAAAAAATCATTCAAGTGTAACGAGCGCATTGGGGTATACATCGTTACAATGAGACAATGTATCAGAAAGAAATATGGCGGAATACGGCTATAGTTGGTATGAAACAAGTCGTACATAGATGAAAATGTTGCGTTTTTAAGAATTCATGTCAGCTTTAAAGTCCACAGTGTTTCAGAACTGAAACTCCAAGTTTCATCAAGTTTCCGAACCTACATGTTTATTGTCTGCATGTAAAAAATATTAGAGAAATATACTCAGTACCTCCATATACGTGAAATAAGAAGTTATGAGATTATATTTAAGGAATCACTGTCTAATTAGTAGAGTGTGCCAGGACATCCGATCGACGATAGTTGAAAACGTGGGATAATTGCCAAACGTACGGGCAAACTGCACTTTCCTGTAGCAATTATGCCCCCGTAAACGAAGTTTCTGGAGTATATAGCTTTTGTTGTGTTCAACCGTCTGTCTAGCTGTTTCTTTGTCTGTCTGTCTAGCTGTCCGTTTGTCTATTTGTCCGCAAAAACTTTAACCTTGCCCATAACTTTTGATTTGGTAGAGCTATGACTTTCATATTTCACATGTGTATTCCTTGTGACAAGACCTTTCTGTGGGTACCACCAAATTTGACCTTTTGACCTTAGAGTTTGACCCACTTTTCCAGAAAAATTCCAAACAATTACTTTGGTCGTATCTTTTGAATATAGTTAATAGCAGGATTTTTATACTTCATATAATTATGTATTCTGTGTAAAAAGACTTTTTCATAGGATACCAACAACTTCGAGATTTCTGTACTTGTGAAAAAAAAAAACTTTTACCTTGGCCATAACTTTTGAACAGTAAGAGCTAGGGCGTTCATTCTTTACATATGTAATCCTTGTGAGAAGATCCTTCATTGGGTACCAAGAAATCCCTTTGACCTTGGAGTTTGACCTACTTTTAAAAAGCAAACCTTGACCATAATTTTTTAAGGGTTAGGGCTAGTGCTTGCATACTTTTCATATTTAATTCTTGTGACAAGACCTTTCATTTGATATCAAGAATGTTGACCTTTGACCTTGGAATCTGACCTTCTTATAAAAAATGTTAACCTTGGCCATAACTCTTGAAGAGTTAGGGCCAGGGCTTCCATACTTTACATACATATGTATGTATTCTTAGTGGCAATTGGATACCAATTAGCTTGACCTTTTGACCTTGGAGATTTCCCTACTTATGAAAAAACTTTAACGTTGGCCTACTTTCATATTTCACAATTGTATTTCCAGTGAGAATATCCTACTTTGGGTACAAATATATTAAATTTGCATTTAAGAAAAGTTTAACCTTCGCTATGTTGCCATACGGGGGCAGCTGAGTGTTTCACAAACACATCTTGTTTTTATTGTAAACAATTAACCTAGCTATGTTAAAAGTTTGACATAGTCCATTAAGTAGACAATAATTACTTAAAATACAATGGAAGAAAAAATATTTTCTCTTTTTATATGCAAACCAAAATTCTTAATGCTTTTATCGGTGATAAAAAAAAATCTGAAGGTTTTATTTAGGCTATTTAAGTCGGGATCGGTCTTCCAAATGGGGACATCCGTAAAATCAGACCGCATTTTCTCAGATTTTCAAAGTGTACAATGAATCCAGTTAATAAACAGTAAGTAGCGTATTATATGTGGATTTTTTAATGCTCCAAGTACCAGTGCTGTCTATATATCATTTAATAACCACAGGAGTCGGAAGTTTTATCAATAAACCAATGTAAACACAACCTGTGAGCTTCGCGAGCGCTGTGCTTCTCTCGAAGCTCACAGGTTTACATTGGTCTTTTGATAAAACTGCCGACTCATGCGTAATAACTGAACCAGTGAAACTGAAAATTTTAATTTACAATGTAAAAGGGGAGAAAGTATGTATATTTAGCTTGAAAAAAAAAAAAAAAATATGTAAACAAGTTTTTCTTTAGGACCACAGGCACCTGAATGTGTATCAACAGGGACCTATATACTAACATATAGGTCCCTGGTATCAATAAGTCGCTTATTTTTGTAATTTTGTAAAAAGATGGGTAAAAAATACAATGTCTATCATTTTGGTGTTTGATAAAGAATTGTTTGGGACGGATAAGGATATTGTTATGGTTGCCTGTTATTTGCCACCAGAAAACTCTAGTTTTTATGAAGATAAGGATGATACATATGGTGTACATTTATTGTATAGTGAATTGTTAGATTTTTTGAGCGACATTATAGAAGAGGTCTGTGTAATATGCACAGGAGATTTTAAAGCTATTATAGGTAATATGTTAGATTTTGATGAGAATGAAAAATATATCCCAGTTATTGGTGAAGACATAGATGAACATGCTACTTTTTCCCTACCAAGAAAATCACGTGATAAAGGCATTAATAAATTCGGAAGAGCACTGATTAATTTATGTAAGGCATTACAGTTATATTTTGTGAATGGAAGATCTGAAAGTGATACTGAAGGACAGTATACATACATATCTACAAATGGTAAAAGTGTCATTGATTACTTTTTATTGTCTGTAGTTATTTTCCTTTTTGAAAGATTTTATTGTAAATGAATTTGCCATATTGGACCATTTTCAATTGACTTGTACTTTTAAAGGGCCGAACCTAATGATAAAAAATATAGAACCAAAGGGAGGGGATCTTGTGAGGTTTAGATGGAAAGAAGATAAAAGATCAGATTTTGTTGAAAAATTTAACTCAGATTATGTAAAAGCATGTTTGTCCTCGTTAGATACAAACTTAAGAAATAGTAATGTAAACAACGCTGTACAGTTAATTACAGATATATTACAATAATGTGCATTAGAAATGAAATGGGATAAGAAACCTATGAAATTAGAGCAGCCTAAATGGTGGGATAAACAGTGTGAAGAAGCTAAGAGAGAAAAGAGTCGTGCGCTAAACACATATAGGAAAACAAATTCAGAGGAGGATCTAAACATTTATAAATTACAAAGACAAAAATTTAGGGATTTATATCACTTTAAAGAATCTCAGTTTAATCAGTTACAGATTGAAGGGTGTCTAAGTGAACATGATACAGGAAACATGTGGCAAGCTATAAAGAAATTGACAAGAGGTACTTTCAAAACTAATATTTCAAATACCGAGTGGATAGATTATTTTAGAACCTTATTAGACTCTGCTAAGTTTGATATAGATAGTGTCTTTGAATCCGAGGCAAACAGTTTTCTAACAGAACTTGAAGATGGTAACGTAAAAAATGATGTTGTTGAATTGGATAAACCTATTGAATTATGGGAAGTAAAAGATGCACTCAGTGAAATGAAGAATAATAAATCACCAGGAATTGATGGTTTAGTGACAGAAATTTATAAAAACTCTCTTGATCAATTATCACAATACTTTGTAAAATTATTTAACATTATATTAGAAACAGGTATTTTTCCAAGTGAATGGGGTAAAGCTATTATATGCCCTATGTACAAGAGTGGAGATAAGAATATACCAGAAAATTATAGAGGAATATCATTATTGAATGTCATCAGTAAAATTTTTACTAAAATTTTGAATAACAGATTAACTTGTTGGGCAGAATATGAAGGAGTATTGTTTGAACAACAGTCTGGTTTTAGACAGGCACGTTCTACTATTGATAATTGCTTTGTTCTTCAAGCAAGTGTATATAAATATATTAGTAAAAGCAAAGGTAGAATGTATTGCATGTTTATAGATTTTTCAAAAGCTTTTGATTGTGTTCAACATAATATTTTATTGTATACACTATTCAAGAAAAGAGTCAGTACAAATATTTTATTGCTTTTAAAGTCAATGTATTCCCAATCAACATCATGTATTAGAAATCAAAATCTTATTTCAGACTTTTTTCAATGTAATATAGGTACAAGACAGGGTTGCATGTTAAGTTCTTTATTATTTATCATGTTCATTGGGGAACCAACAGAATTATTAGAATCAATAGAATGTAAAGGCATATACATTGATGAGACATATCCTAACATTATGCAGTTACTTTTTGCTGATGATGTAGTTAACTTTGCGGATACTGTTATTAACTTACAAAATCAAATTAAAGCCTTAGAAAAATTTTGCTACAAATGTGGCATGAAAATTAATTTACAAAAATCAAAGATCATGGTGTTTAGACGTGGGGGTATAACAAAAAATACAGAGAAATGGTTTTTTGATGGAAGAGAAATTGAAATTGTATCATTTTACAAATACCTAGGGTTATATTTTACAAGTACAATGTCATGGGAACTGACAAAGAAGTATTTGTGTGCTAGCAGAAAAAGCATTGTTTATTGTATATAAATTTATGAAGATGTACAATGCATCATATAAACAAATCTTTTGCATTTTTGATAGAATGACTGTACCTATTTTGACTTATGGTGCTGAAATATTGGGGTATGAGTTATCGAAATGTATCGGATCTATACATACAAAGTTTTGTAGAAGAGTTTTAAGACTCAAGAACAATACACCTGAAATAGTTGTACTAGGAGAACTAGGGAGATATCCTCTAATGGTAAAGTACTTTAAGAAATTTATTACATATTGGTTAAAGATACTTTGTATGGAAGATGATAGACATCCAAAAAGATGTTACTTATTTTTACTTCAGTTAAATAATGTAGGTAGAATTAGAGGTAACTGGGCATCAGAAGTGAAGTCAATGTTATGTAGATTTGGATTCCACTATGTATGGCTTTATCAAGGTGTAGGGGATAATGTATTATTTTTAAAAGAGTTTGTACAAAGAGTTCAGGATAACTATATGCAAGAATGGCACTCTTCATTGATCTCTTATAGTAAACTGGATTTTTATTGTAAATTCAAAATTCTCTAGATGTCATAAACAATGTATCTTTTAGAGAATCACTTTGTAAATTAAGAACCTCTAGTCACTGTTTGGAAATTGAACATGGTCGATTTAAAGATATTCCTAGAGAAAATAGATTTTGTCTCTTCTGTCAAATAGCAAATAAAAATTGTATTGAAAATGAAAAGCACTTTGTAGAAAATTGTGAATTATATATGGATATTAGAGTAAACTGTAATATTTTGAAACACTTAGGATTTTATAAAAACACTGTGAATATGCTTATATATGGAAATGATGCAGTGTTAAATGAGGTCGCAAAATTTACCTTTTTAGCTTTTAAAGAGAGGGAAAAGTTCATTGAGAATTTAATATGTGATAATTTATAAGTATAGTCTATATGTTTCCATATTGTATACCTGGTAAGCCTGTCTAAAATTGTAAATGTAACATTGTAAAATATGAATGTACTTTGGGCCGGTGGCCTACAATACTTAATTCAATAAATATCTATCTATAAGTCGCTAAATAAGTCAAATATCGAAAAATTCTACCCCCTCTATATAAATACATTATAGTGTGTTTATATATAGAGGAGGTAGAATTTTTCGATATTTGGCTTATTTAGCGACTTATTGATATGAATTCAGCAGGTTGGGACCAATTGCCCAAATGGGATAAAATAGTCCGTTTGGGATATAATATCCCAAATGGGCAATAAATTTACAGTGCAAAAATTGAAAACTTTTATTTTGGCTATAAATATCATAAATCCGCATCAGGACACTTAAAAAGGAATAACTTTTGGTTGACAAGTTTTCCTGTATGCTATTTGTTTTGGAGATTGATCCCTCAGAAGTTCCTTAACTTTTTGGGGATCAATCTTACAAACTGTAGGGTTGCAGAAAAAACTTACCAAAAGTTATTCCTTTTCAAGTGTTTTGATACGGATTTATGATATTTATGGCCAAAATAAAAAATTTCAATTTTTGCACTGTATAAATTTATAGCCCATTTGGGATATTATATCCCAAACAGACTATTATATCCCATTTGGGCGATTGGTCCCAGTCTTTTCAGGTGCCTGTGTTAGGACATCATACATTGGTTCCACAGAAGATCTAACATTAAACCTGCTTAATTATGAACTTTAGGATAATAACAAGAAGTTACTTAACAGAAACGTTCATGAATTTGCAAAAATTTTAGCTATTTTTTCTTTATGTTTGTATATAGGCCAACTATAATAATATTTCAATTTTGGATAATGGATAATATAGATTAAATATTCTGCTGAAGCCCAATATACACAGTTCAGGGACTGTCAAACTATTTCTGTTTATTACAGGGATGTGCAGTTAGCAACGCCCGATTGATTATTAAGTAAAAATATATACGATTCAATATTATTAACAAGAATTAAACTTTATTTAAAAAAAAAATGATCCTTACTTTTTCAGCAATAAACTTTTCCCTGCCAGCATTTGGGCTAGTAACTTTTTATTGGGGCTAGGAAATTACACACTCTAGGCTTACAAGTGTAACAGGAAAGGAGAAAATGTATGGGTGGACCGGGAATCGAACCTGGGACCCCTGCATCTCCAGTCAGGTGCTCTACCAACTGAGCTATCCAGGCTGACATCCACGGTCCAAACCATTACACAAGTAAAGATAAAGAGATTTAACAAAGTTGAAAACTCACTCAAAATAGCAGCTGGCCGAATGGATGTCTACTCTTAAAAGCTACCAACCCTGCTCAAAATCTGTCTAATTTAATCAATGTTAATCAGTCTAATTAAAACATTCATTATTATCTTATAAATTATGAAAGTATTAGATAAGTAGGATGTATCAAGTTTATAAATAAAACTTAATTTCTTAATACCTGTACAATACTTATAGACTTACAATTGTACTTAAATAATACTTTACTCTGTTGGATAGCACAAAAAAAACCCAAAACCCCAGGAACTAGCTGTTTAATGTATACTCCTGACCAATATACAGTGCAAAGAATGAAAATTTGTATTTTCAATTGGCTACAGATATCATAAGTCTGCATCAAAATACTTAAAAGGTAATAACCACTCAGAGCTCCTTGGATGGCTCGTACCTGGCACACTGAATGAAGCGTATCAGAGTCAGCCGAGTATTGCCCATTGAGGAATAACTTTTGGCAAGCAAATTTTTCTGTATGTTAGTTCCTAAACTTCGTGGGTATCAATCTCCTAAACAGTAAATGTTGTGAAAATATGTTGAATGCTTCTGATAAAAACTTAAATAAAATAATTTGGGGGGGGAGGGGTGAAGGTATCTACATGTACTACAGTACCTCAATAAAGTTTGTTATAATTCTCGAATCGATTCTGCAATTTTCTGTAAATCACATCTATTAGTATGTATATGTGAGGCATTCTATATCTGTGGTGAGGTCCAAGCTGTCCAAACAGATTAACTGATTATTCAAAATACCATAATAATTGTTGAAGAATAAAAATAATTGAATAGGTAAGCAAATTAAATGATTTTTTATCTGAAAAGTGTGTTTAATCATAAATTTAACAGATAATTTTATTTTATGCCTCACAGGTATGGGCTGTTAATGCCAAAGAAAAAACAGTCATCTTTCAAGGTGTCCAATATTTTTGGAGATGATAGCGATGAGGTTTGTAAAGATGTAAAGGTGTCTTGATTCTAACAAGGAAAGATCTCTTAATTAAGTTAAAAAATGTGTGTCACTGTGTGTTACACATCACTGTTGCAAGCTACAGGTTTTGTGGCCATTCAATTTCCACAGTCAAAATGGACACAAAACCCATCATGAGTTGCAACAGTGATTACACTTACACTGCTATTTTTTTATCTGTCCGGATGATTTATATTCAAATCTTTTGAAACATAAAAGGATTTGTTTCATGTTTCTCAATTACTTGAAATGAAAAGTGTAATATGTTCCTAAAATCTGATTGAAATATGCATATTCCTGTATTAATTCTTAATTTTTGATTAAAATACATGTAACGGTATGTGTAGGTGGATGAGGGGTGATAAGGTTCCAAACATCAAGTTTCCCATAGAAGTTAAGAATTAAAAAAATCTTTAAAAAGCATTTTACAAGTCCAAATGATTTTGAAAAAAAAGTATATTCATTAAACATGTAACATTGATATTGTGTTAAATTTTTACATGGGGTTTGCTGTAATGATTTTCAAGGTTCAAGTAATTTTAACAACTTAAACTTTTATCAATTAACATGATTAAGGATTTTAAAAGTGATATGTTGAGGTCAAAGACATTAACCTAATTGTTTAAAAACTTCACAGAGCATATCCCATAAATATACATGTAAGTAGGTTTACATTGTGAATTCTCTGCATTATACAGATGTATATAAAAATTTAGGTATAAAGCTAATTATATCCCGTACCCTAGATCTCTGTTGTACTGCAGATTTTCAAGTAAAACTGATCAGTAAGTCAAAGACAAAATAATTATATTAACCTTTATTTGAAGAAGGTATATCACCAGTGAAATGGCTCAAAGGTTAAATGGGAGTTAATTTATTGGTGATAGTATTTAGATATTTATTTATCAATTAAAAATTAATTTAGTCACAAAGTTACTCTGTTTTTGCTTTTTATTTGTCCAACCTAAGCATTTTTAATGGCTACACTTTTTAATACATTTCAAGGAAACACCGAAACAAGAAATCAATTCAAGTCTTCAGCGATCATCATTACAGGCCAAAATAAAGAGACAGGTAAGTTATTAACCTCTGTTTATTTGCCTTGTAAATGGAATTTGATTTTCTCTGTATGTCATAAAACTAAGATGATAATGAAGTACCTGTAAATGAGAATCTAAAAAAGGAGAACAGAAATTCTGATTACATTCAATCAATTGTATTAGACATAATAAGTGTACGGTAGCTGTAAGTAAATTATCATTTCACATTTCTCTTCCTTTGTTATAAATACAAACCAAGAGATCTGTAGTCTTGTTAATTTGTTATTAGTTTGATATATTTTCATGGAAATTTCAATTTTACTAAGAACATTTTTAACCTTCGATCTTTTTTGGAAACTTTAAATTGAAACTTGCACATTTTCTCTGGTACACATTTATTTTGTGTTTGTGAGTCTCTTTAGTAGTCATAGTACTGCCTACAGTTCATCAAAAGTGTGTCATTAAAATTACTGGAGAAATCCACATGTATTACAGACTCAGCTTGAAATAGACAAGGCTTTGGAGGCAGATCCTACTGTGTATGAGTATGACAGTATTTATGATGACCTACAGGCCACAAAAGAAGAGAAAGACTCGGCTGTCAAACAGAAAAAGGACAGAAAGGTGGAATTTTCTCAGTGTACCTCCTCATTATTAATAGAAATAAAATGTAACAGTTTTCTGAAAGTGTATTGTAAGTATTATATCTTTTAAAATTCATATTATGGTGCTATATATTAATTTTAAGTCCTTTTTAGCTCACCTGAGCTGAAAGCTCAAGTGAGCTTTTCTGATCACATTTTGTCCGGTGTCCGTCTGTCTGTCTAGCTGTCCGTCTGTCCGTCTGTCTGTAAACTTTTCACATTTTCGACTTCTTCTCAAGAATTTCAACCAAACTTGCCACAAAGTATCCTTGGGTGAAGGGGATTCAAATTTGTTCAAATGAAGGGCCACGCCCTTACTCAAGGGGAGATAATTGGGAATTGATGAAAATTTGGTGGCAGATTTTAAAAATCTTCTTTTTTAGAACCACTGTGCCAGGAAAGATGAAACTTACGGGGAAACATCCTCAGGTAGTGTAGATTCAAGTTTGTTCAAATCATTACCCCTGGGGGTAGGGCGGGGCCAAAATGGCCGACCTAAGTTTTACATAGAAATATATTAGGAAAATTCTTTAAAAATCTTCTTCTCAAGAATGACAAAGCCATAATTCATCATATTTATATGGAAGCATGCTCAGGTAGTGTAGATTCAAATTTTGTTCAAATCATGACCCCCGGGGGTAGGGCGGGGCCAAAATGACCGACCAAATTTTTACATAGAAATATATAGGAAAATTCTTTAAAAATCTTCTTCTCAAGAATGACAAAGCCATAATTCATCATATTTATATAGAAGCATGCTCAGGTAGTGTAGATTCAAGTTTGTTCAAATCAACCCCCGGGGGTAGGGCGGGGCCCAAATGGCTGACCAAAGTTTTACATAGAAATATATAGGAAAATTATTTAAAAATCTTCTTCTCAAGAATGACAAAGCCATAATTCATCATATTTATATGGAAGCATGCTCAGGTAGTGTAGATTCAAGTTTGTTCAAATCATGACCCCCGGGGGTAGGGAGGGGCCAAAATGGCCGACCTAAGTTTTACATAGAAATATATAGGAAAATTCTTTAAACATCTTCTTCTCAAGAATCACAAAGCCATAATTCATCATATATATATGGAAGCATGCTCAGGTAGTGTAGTTTCAAGTTTGTTCAAATCATGACCCCCCGAGGTAGGGCGGGGCCAAAATGGCCGACCAAAGTTTTACATAGAAATATATAGGAAAATTCTTTAAAAATCTTCTTCTCAAGAATGACAAAGCCATAATTCATCATATATATATGGAAGCATGCTCAGGTAGTGTAGTT